ATTCAGGACTTTTTTCGACTCATTTTTTGGCAAGGAATAACGCTATGTACTTAGTGGGCAGTCTTTAAGTGTCACCCTGTATACGCTGTAATTCTCCATCTAATAGGAACCAAAATGGCGGATGAGAATACCTACATATCTAGTGCCTTACTAATAGCGTCTCCCCGAACGCACCCACCATCGACCCCCTGGATAGAGAACGCGCAGTCGATACTTGTACGTCTATGCTCTATGGTTAATACGTCTCTTGTTATTTCTCTCTCCATGCTTTACTTATATTACATTTTCGCGGTTCCCGCGAAGATCGGTATAACCTTTCTTCCTCACTTTTCCTGATATATCATTCCACATTCCTATTGTAACTATCAAGTCTTTTCCTTATCGCTAAGCGTTCAGCGATCACCAATAACTGTATCACGTAATAGAAATATTTGTCGTGGAATCATGAAATTCTCGGTGTAAACGGAGTTCATTAGCATCGCGATTTGACAGCTAGCTCTGCAAGGGCGCACTTGACAACTCTGTTTTGTCGTTACACCAACGCTTCACGTGAATGTACTGTCTTTAAGAATTTGCAGAGGAACACGCAATGAATATAATTCTGAGACTCGCGCGGAAATTACGGTGTATCGACGGATGCTTTTTGTAAATTTGTACTTTGATAAATTTCAGAAGAGAGAGAGAGAGAGAGAGAGAGGAGGGAGGGAGGGAGGGAGAAAGAGAGAGAGAGAGAGAGAGATAAGTGACAGATGAAAGATTAGGGTTTACATGATCCACGAGTTTACATCAGTGTTAAGTGATAATTTTGTCGCGTAATACATCGCTCGTTCCTGACATCCAGCTTTTGAATCATCTGCCACAAAATGTCAAAGAACAAACTCAACTTGACGCTACCACCTGGCTCAATAGAACCGGTACCAGCTGTGTCGCCGTCACCGCCGGTTCCACCTTTACCCACATACTCAGAACCACCAGTGATACCTGAGTAAGTAGATGTGATTGCGTCTTGTTCATCATGTGAATTTTAATCACTTAATTATACTGAAGGGAATATGGTCTTTAAGTCATCCTGGTTATTGATGCGTAAGTACGATATCCTTCCTTTTATTTCTTTAGTTCTCACCCTTTATTTCTCAATTCTTTTAAATTAGAATCTGTATCGAGAGATTCATAAATTAGAGTTTAGTCGTGAGCTAAAATATGGCTTTAAAGTAATTTTAACTGAAAATGTTCTCTTAATACAAGTCAGAGAATGTGCACTTTATTTGTTTTGTTATAATCAATTAAGTGCTTTATTTTAAGCTTAGTATTAATACCTTGAATAACTAATTTATTCAATTGATTTAAAATATACATGGGGCAGTTTTTATTAATTCAGCCACTTATAATATAACTGATGATAACTGATGCAAACTAACTTTGATTTTGAAAGTTTGAACATTTTGATTGTGTATATATCCAACGCTTACGCTATTTACGCTATCAGTATTTACCTTTTGCACATAGAACTGTTTTGTTGTTAAATTTATCATTATTGTCATTAAGTATTTCTTTTATTGAATATGGTAAACCACTGATCAAAATTGATCAAAAAAGATTAGAATAATTTGTTACATGTTTTGCTATTACATCATTATCAATCCACCATGCTGTTAATCTTTAACTACAAGTTTTTTTCATAGAAAAACACCAATGTTGTACTAACAACTGCAACATCGATTTATTTATTGTCTTTTTCTGGATGGCTTTTTAATAGTGTAATTTACTTCTTGAAATTCTTCATTTAGTGTCTTTTACGTTTACGACAATGTAATATTTCTCGTTACTTTTAGATTTACTTTTTTATTTCTATCTGCCACTAGTGTCTTTTTTAGGATTCTGTGACTCAATATTTGTGGTAACATTTTTTAAATGTATACAGCTGCATTGTTAATTAAACGTTTCTCTCATTTGAAGTTAATAACATACATTCAAATTAGAATGTTTCAAAATTGGTTGACAAACTATGTGTAGCATTTTATAAATTAGCCTAATATAGTAATGTAGATTATTATACCAATAAATAAAGTATTCTCATTTTCAGTTTTCAGGTTCTATTATTTGACATATTTCACAAACTTGCTATATATCTATTGAGATATCTTTGTCAATTGAAAGCTTGAACAATTTACATCTATAAAGCTAGCTAAGCTTTTACCACAAAAAATTATGGTAGGGCCTATATGGTTAGGAGAAGAATGCATTTGTTTATATTCTGTGAGGAAGAGCAGGGTAGTATGGAACATTATATATAGGAATGCAGGGAGGTGAGAGTTTGGTACGTTGGGAGGAAAATGAGAACATAAGGTTAAAAAGAGTTTGAAGTAATGAGTTGGATGAAGAAAAAGGAAAAATAATAAAGAGATTATGGAGGGAAAAGGAGAAGCGTAGAAAGGTAAAAAAGATAACAATGCAAGGAGAATAAAGCAGAATAAAGCGAATAGATTAAGGGATAGGGAATGAGGCGAATAGATTAAGTATGGGAAGGAAGAAAGAACCAGGAATGCAAAAGAGAGAACAGTGTTAATTATAAAAGATAAAGAAATATGAATAAAAATGTAAAATATGATGATAAGAATGTAAAATAAGGATAGAGTAATATATAGAATTAAATATAAGATATGGATGAATAAGAGGATAAGTTTTTTTTTTAATGGAAATCAAGTCCCTTCTTGGCAATAGTTGAAGTAATAAAGATTATATATATTATGGTAGGGCCTATACCAAAGTTTAGTACTATTTAGGTATTAATTTAACATTGTTATATTCCCCATTTTTTAGCGCTCCAAGAATTTGCCATTAAAAATAAAAATACCTACTTCCTGTCACATTGAAAAGTGTCTTAAATAAGTTTTATGAGAATATTTATTGCTATTTACTATTTCAAGAGTTTACTGTACTTAATGATCGATATATTATTTTTAATCTTAGAATTACCAATAATATCCAATAAGTGATCGTGTTCTATTTGTAATTATAATTCAATAATTTTGAACCCTGCAAGAGCTATTATAAAATCTATAATTCTATGGCCATTATAAAATTTAAATTTAGAAATTCACAGGTATATAACATAAGAAATATATATAAATTGCTCTGATAGTTTCTGCCTAAAGTTCCTGATTAGTTGAAATAATAGTCGAATTTTTTGTGAACCAATGTATTTTTAATATTTACACCTAGATCTCCGTGTCTTTTGAGATTTTCTTTGCATCAAATTATTAGATAAAATTTGAATTCTATAAATGTAATCTGAAAAACTTTTTTCCAGCGGCGTTATGGGTAAAATGAGCATAGACGCAATCCAGGAAAGATTAGAAGAGCTCGAAATGGACGAGGAGCAAAGAAAACGACTGGAGAGCTTTCTGGGACAGAAGGAGAAGGTTGGAGAGTTGTGCGACGAGGATTTTGAAAAACTAGGCGAATTGGGCGCGGGTAATGGTGGCGTCGTTATGAAAGTCAGACATAAAAAGTATGGCCTCATAATGGCGAGAAAGGTAAATGTTTTACTATGTGCTTGCATACAAATGTTTGGACATTCAGAAAATGGTGTTTTTACTCGACACTTTTGTTTACGTTTCAGTTAATACATTTGGAAGTAAAGCCAGCTATTAAGAAGCAAATAATCAGAGAACTAAAAGTACTTCACGAATGTAATTTTGCGCACATAGTTGGATTTTACGGTGCTTTTTACAGGTAAATTTTGAAATGTTTTATTCAGATATTATACATATAAAGTGGTTGAATAATTCAAATATAACAGAAAAGTGAGTAATTCATGTGAAGAATATAAATAAAAAACGCAAAACAAATTTTATTGTACAAAATTTTGTTTTTGAAAAAAAATTATTTAAAAAATTAATAATAAATTTACGCTTTATAATATTGAATTATCTTCACGATTGTGTGGAAGATTATTTAATAAAGCGATTTAAAATTACTGAAGAATTTATATATCTTAAAATATTAAGATTTATTATTATATTTTAATAAAATATGGTATTGTTTTATACATATTTTGATTATCGCAGTCGAAACTCGAGACAAACTACACAATGTATGATTGTTAAAAATCATTCAAGCTTAAATTTAAACATTTATTAGTCGTGTAATTTTTTAAGTTTCCTTTTTCGAAAATAAAACTTTGTACAAAAGTATTTTATTCTATATTTTTGGTTTATTTTTTTTACGAAGGATTACACCTTCCCGCATCATCTATCATGATTATTGAATCATTTTGTGTATATGTACGATGTTCTAAAATTGCGATTATTCTCATCAGCAATTTTGAAATATTAAAAGAAATATTGGAAATTAAAATAGACAAATCCCAGACTACATTTAGATGATTGTCTATTTATACAGGATGCCCGCAAAGGTTGATACAGTGGAGAAATTTATGCAGTGCGTTAATAGGATCCAGTAGATGAAAAAGGTTTATATAAACTCATGTTTGAAAATGCTTTATTAAAAAGTTATATGCGTTCAAAGATTCACGAGCAGGATTGTTCTCCATAACTCATTAGACAAAATTGCTGACTTAAAAATAAAGTTCTCAGTTTTATTGTTTACCTTCACCTCTTTTTCTCTGTCACACGTATTACGATAGATGTTAGAATGCAAGAATGCAGGATTCTATTTGTTGAACTAACTGCTGAACTATTTCGAATGTGTAACACTGAACACATGAAAGTTTAACAGATGTCTGTCACAGAAATCAAAAGGCTATACACAAGTCAAGACATGTAAACAATAACTGAAAGTTATTTGTTTCTGAATCAGCAATTCCGTCTAAGTTATAGAGGACAATTCTACTCATCTTTAAATGCTTATAACTTTTTATAAAGCATTTTCGGACATTAGTTTATAAACAAAAGTTATAAACTTTTTTTCACCTACTGGACTCTATTAATACATTGTATAAATTTAGACCCAATTTTTATGGACACCCTATATATACAGAATGTCCCATGTTTTAAATGATGCACCTAATTGCATCTATATTGAATATATTTTGAGAACAAAGTTTTAGATGAAAATTGTGCAGTTAGCACAATTTTAATTTTTAAGTAGCACTATATATTTTTTTGAAATTTTTAAAAGGTTTATTTTTTCTGAGTTTAACGATGTATAAGGTTACATAAGGAAAAGCTTAAACTGAGATTACCATCTTATGTCCTAACAACTGTACAAGTTTTAGTTGAAACTTTTTTTCTAAAAAGCATCTTGTTTTCAAAATATTTAGGTGTATTATTTAAAATGGAACGCCGTATGCGTGTATATATTCTATATATAAATCTGATATGTGAGAGTTGAATATATCATATATATTTCAGCGACGGAGAAATTAGCATATGTATGGAATATATGGATGGTGGATCATTAGATCTAATATTAAAGAAAGCAGGACGAATTCCAGAACCTATCTTAGGTACAATCACATGCGCTGTAAGTTAACTTTTTTATTATTGACACAAGCAAAGGAGAAGAGGAACAGAATTTTATATTATTCTTAGATTTACATTAAATTCATTATATATACATATATGTTTAAACTTATCTTTTGTATTTAAATAGACTATATAAAATCTTACTTTAATAAACTACAATATATTATTTCTAATATGTGTGTGTGTGTGTATGTGTGTGAGAGAGAAACATTAGGCATGCAGAAATACATATGCACACATATGACAGATTGTGGCGGATATTTAAATTACATACTGGAAAGCAACTATTTCTCTATGGAATCGTAACAAAAAGAACTTTAATAATACGTTTCTCTTTCTATGATTCCGCCTGGAAAAAGACGAATGCACAAACGTCTCAGTTCATCGTAGACCCAAAGAAATGCGCCGAGAGGCAAGCAAGGCCAATACCAATAAGCTTTCAGTGGCATAGTTTTCAATACGTACTCCGTGCCCGGAACGTAGAGTAAAAGCCCCGTTAGAACAATCTCGAAGACGAAGGAAAAGTTGACAAACCAATTTGCCATTCCTTGCTGAAAGATGGAATTGTGTCTGGTCTTGCACATCACCAGATCGATCATTTGCGTTATAACGATGGAGAGGAAGTATCCGCTTTGCGCTTCCATCAACAGACTCATCCTGTTCTCGTACGTCCACGTTTGGCCCCACGAGTCTTGAAGATCGTTGATGGACGGGTTCTCCCACTCGATTCGCAAGCCGAGCAGACGATCGGGCATAAAGCCGTTCATCATCAGCACCATGAAGTAGGTGTAAAATCCGGCGAACGACTGCGTCATTCCTATTTGGCCGTAAGTGATGGATATCAGACGCTTGTTGACGAGCTTGTCGTACTGAGGGTTCCTCGGCGCGCGTCGCATTATGTCGGACTCGGCTTTTTCGTACGCCAAGGCGATAGCCGGCACCAGATCGGTGCCGACGTCTATGCAAATCACCAGCTCGATCACCAGGGGTAGAGGAATCGCGAATATCAAGCCGGTCAGCATCGGTAGCATTTCCGGCACGCTCGACGTTAACGTGTAGCAGATCGATTTCTTCAGATTGTCGAATATCAAGCGGCCCTCCTCGACGCCGGTCACGATCGACGCAAAATTGTCGTCCATGAGTATCATGTCCGCGGCGTTTTTCGCCACGTCGGAGCCGGCGATGCCCATCGCGATCCCGATGTCGGCCTTTCGCAACGCCGGCGAATCGTTGACGCCGTCGCCGGTGACCGCCACGATCTCCCCCAGACGCTGGCAGCTCTCCACGATCAGCAGCTTCTGCTGCGGCGACGTTCTCGCGAAGACGATCTCCTCGTAATTGCGTATGACATCGTCCAGCTCACTCGCACTCATGTTCCGCAACTCGCTGCCGGTGATGATGATCGCGTCGGTGTGAGGCTCGGCTATATGCGTGTAAGACTTATTCTGCAAAATCGCCTGCTCGTAGTGGGCTTCGTGACCTTCGCTGATGATGCCCACCTTCTTGGCGATCGCCATGGCCGTCATCGGGTGATCGCCCGTCACCATGATCACCTTGATGCCGGCGGTGCGGCACTTCTCCACCGCCTCGGGCACGCCCGGTCGCGGCGGATCCTTCAGACTTATCAGCCCTACGAATCTGTAGCCTTTGGTGGGAAAGTTGTAGGACGCGGGTGAATCGGTGATGAATCTGTAGCTCGGTCCGTACACGTCCGCAGGCAGATCCATGTCGCAGTACGCGAGCACGCGTTCGCCGAGGTAGCCTAGCTCTGTGCAGGCCCGGCGCAGTATCGAATGATCGTGAGTGGTCATGTCCTTGGTCTCGCCGTCCGCCGTCAGTATCGTCGCGCAGTTCTCCAGTATCACTTCCGGAGCGCCCTTCAATATTATCGTGTAGCCCGCAGCGTTCCGGTGTATCGACATCTGATACTTGGTGATGGAGCTGAACGGGATCTCGGCGACTTTCGGATAAGCGTCGCGATACTTCTGCGTCGTGTGGACGTGCTCGCAAAACTTGAGGATACCGGTCTCGGACGCGTCACCGATGATCTCGCGCTCTTCAATCGGGGCGAGCATGTAAGACTCGGCGGTGAACTCGGCGCGCAGACAGAGAGTCGCGGCTCTCAGCATGACGCGGAAGTCTGGCTTCTCCAGCAGCAGGTCCCGCTCGACGCCGATTCTTTCACCCGGCGTGAAGTTGTATCTGGTGTGACCGAACCACAGGTTGGACACGGACATCTTGTTCTGCGTGAGAGTACCGGTCTTGTCGGAGCAGATCACCGACGTTGAGCCCAGGGTCTCAACCGCCTCCAGGTTTTTCACCAGACAGTTCTTGTTCGCCATCCGCTGCGCGGTCAGCGTCAAAACTGTCGTCACGGTCACCAGCAGCACTTCCGGCACATTGGCGATGACTATGCCGAGCAGGTAGATAAACGCCCGCACGATGTTCGGCTCCAGCAGCAGCGACAGCCCGAAGAAGGCGAGGCCGCACAGCACCGCGACAATCGTGATGATCTCGACGAAGTGCCGGATCTCCTTGGCGATCGGCGTCTCGATCTTGGCGAGCTGCGACGTGAGACCGGCCAGTCGACCGATCATGGTGCGATCGCCCGTGCCGATCACGATCCCCTTACCGTCGCCCGCCACCGCGAATGACGTGGAGAACGCCACATTGGCGGACTCGAGGGGATTCGCGTCGGTGGGATAATTCGTACGCGCCACCGGCTCGCTCTCGCCGGTGATGCTGGAGTTTTCGATCCGCAGCCCGCGACACTCGATCACCCGGATGTCGGCCGGTATCTTGTCGCCCATTCGTATTTCCACCAGATCGCCCATGACCAGCTGCTCGGTGGCGAGCCGCACCTTCGCGCCGTCGCGTATCACCGTCGCGAAGGTCGGCACCATCTTCTTGAAGGACTCCATCACCTTGGTGTTCTTCGCCTCCTGTATGTACGCAAACGCGCCCGACGTGAGGCATATCAGGACGATGATTATGCCCAGCCACACGATACCGATGTCGGGCTCGTGCGTGAAACAAGTCACGGCGTACAGCACGAAGCAGAGAGTCGCGCAGACCCAGAGCAACGCGGCGAACCCGTGGAACATGCACTTGAAGAATTTGATATACTCCGGGGTGACCTTGGGCGGGGTCAGCGCGTTCGGTCCGTCCCGCGAAAAAACTTGACGCACCTGCTCCTCCGTCAGACCCACCTTCGTGTCTGTGTTCAGCCTCTCGCACAGAGTGTCTAAAGGCACGAGGTGATCGACAGTTTCCAACTCTTGATGCAGCTCTTGTATTTCCTGCTCGGTGAGCTTCTTCTTGTGCAGATGTATGGAGGAATCGCGGTTTGATTGCTGCTTCGAGATGCCTGCCTGCATTTTTCAACGGAATTTTTTGCAAATTATTTAAATAACGACACTCTGTCAGAATATAACTTGACAAAATGTTTCTCTTCTCCTTCTATATTCATAGCGATCTAATTGTCTAATCTCACTGCCGACTTGTTGAATAGCGCTAGTTGTTTTACGCTACTGATTTTGCTTGGAATTCTTAAATCAATTCTTTTTAACCAACAATTTATTTGAATATTTCTGGATTTTTCGTCAACAATCATTATATACGAACGCCTAAAGACGATAAGTTTGACTGAAAAAAAAAACCGCAAGCGCAAGGCCTAACGCACAATAACGGAAATAATAGGAATAAATATTAAATATTAGGAGAGGAGCAATGTAAAATTATTTTACTTCAAATGAGGGAACGGAATGGATTAATTATTCTTAATTCCTAATTCATGATGCTTTAATCTAATCGACTTTCTTGTTTTGAAATGAAGTACATATATAATTCCAATTTCCTAATATTTTTTCTATTGTGCGTTGGACTTAAGACATTAATCACGCCCTAACACATGAATTTGTCAACGAGTGCCAAGGCACATTCGTGCAAGTTCATGTGTTAAGGCATTTCTGTGACCGTGCGTATGTTCAATTGTTGAGACAACAATTAAACGACAACGAGCTATCGCTTTCTCCTCACAGGTTTTGAAAGGCTTAAGTTACTTGCGCGACAAGCATGCTATAATGCACCGCGACGTGAAGCCGAGCAACATCCTGGTTAACAGCGCGGGTGAGATCAAGATCTGTGATTTTGGCGTTTCCGGACAACTGATCGATTCGATGGCCAATTCGTTCGTCGGCACTCGAAGTTATATGTCGGTAAGCTACAAAGAATTGCTCATTATGCTGTGATCTAAAATAAGATATATGCTTCTGTTTCGTGTATTTATATAACAAAGATTTAAAAAATATATTTATTAAAAATTTAACATAAAGTAAAATGTAAAATTACATTTTATAAATTATCTGTTTATAAATGATATATTAGACATCTGTTTTACATTGTCTATTGATAAACAAGGATACAAGACTATTATTAGTTTATGCGTAAGTTTTTAATCTTGTTATGAATGCTATGCGCACGAGAAATAATATGGCAGAGAAAGAGAGACAGAGGGAAATTAACATTTTTTATCGCGTGATTTAATTTTTTTAGCCAGAGAGACTTCAGGGCACGCATTATTCGGTGCAAAGTGATGTTTGGTCGCTCGGATTATCGCTCGTGGAAATGGCAATAGGGATGTATCCAATCCCACCACCGGATGAGAAGACCTTAACTTCTATATTCGGTCCACAATCGGCGCAACCATCTGCGGAGATTCCAGTGACGAACAACGTGCCGACACCGACTACACAATCGCCAGGACACAGTTAGTATTCGCTTAAACTTTAATTTGTACTTAAAGATAGTTGTCATTAATCTCTTAAATATTAATGATGTATGTGCGTTATTTAAAAGAAAAAGAGGTATTTTTTACCTATAGGACTTTCGCAAAATATTGTATCTGTATACAGGGTGAGGAGAAAGTATGGAAACTCTGAAAAATCTCGAAAAATATAAGTTTTACAAGAAAAATGTTTCGGGATAAAAAGTAGAGTTTAAAAAGATCTATTTACTGATCTTGAAGTTTGATCTTGGATGGCGTTGCCAAAGTCAGGACAAGGTCAAGTTGAATTTTTTAAATGTGACTCCCTATTTTTTATTGCATATTCTTATATTCTTAGTCCTTGTTGAGACGTTTTCAGAACACTATAATAAAGCTTCTTTTGGTTAAGAATTTCCTGAGAAAAACTTGCTTTGAAAAGGTAGATCCTCCTCTGATTTTGCCTTAGATGGCCGGATCCTCCTCTTCTACTTTACGAGATATTTCATATTTTATATTAAAAAGTATCATGACAAATTTTAAAATATCTCAGAAAATTCTTAACCAAAAGAAGCTTCATTATAGTGTTCTGAAAACGTTTCAACATGGGCTATAAGAATATGCAATAAAAAATAGGGGGTCACATTTAAAAATTTCAACTTGACCTCGTTGTGACCTTGGCGACGCCATCCAAGGTCAAACTGATAAGATCGGTAAATAGATTTTTTTAAACCCTACAATTTTTATCCGAAACACTTTTCTGTAAAACTTATATTTTTCAGAGTTTCCATACTTTTTCCTCATCCTGTATATTGTATCTATATTTTGGAGGTGATTATTAAATTTCTGATCAAAATTTTTGAATTTAATATGGCAAATGCAATTTGAAAAATTATTCAATACACTCAAACTTGATTTCTAAGGATTTTTATGATCTTTGAATTTGAATCTGATATAATTATTTGGAAATTCATGAGACTATTATTTTTATAAAATACAAAATGATATTTATTATATTCTGAAATTTTAATTTACACACATATTACATATTTAAACTAAATGTTAACAGATATGTTTCAGTATAATTATATATTTTATCTTAGAATTTGTATTTTTTATTCTTTCTAGATTAATATCTCAATTTTTAAATGAGATTTCTAAAACTTTCTATCTTAGCAATCTTCTGATTTCCCAAAATTTAATATAAAATCTTTTGTTAAAATTTTTAATTGTTAATTGCTACAAGTTTGTCTCAAGTTCATAATTTGAAATTTGAAAATGCAGATTCTAATCCAGCATTCTAAAAAACCTCGAATATATACAATTAATTTGTTTTTTTTTCACAATACAAATGATTTTTAATGTTTAATGAAGTGTTATTTCTGGACAATTTAGAAATTAATTGTTAATCGACAATTCTTTATTGTGTAGGCGCAAGTAGTCCGAGGCCCATGGCAGTATTCGAGTTGTTAGAATACATAGTGAACGAACCGCCACCGAAACTGCCGCCTGGAATATTCAGCGATGCTTTTACAGATTTCGTCGATCGATGCTTAAAGAAAAATCCGGCCGAGCGAGCAGATTTGAAGACGTTGATGGTATGTTTCAGATTTAAACAGAGTCTACTTACGAAAATTCTATAACTTTCAAGAAATTATTTTTTGTTCGGAGAAATCAGGGAATTTTCCATTTTTACAAGAAATTTTTGTCAATATTCAGAGAATTTTGGCTGAAAATGTTGTCTTTATTTTGTGATAAATCGAGCTCTTCATTTTATTTCCATGACGTATACAGTCTATCTTTAAAAAATATATTTTAAAAAAATTTTTGCACAAAACGTAGATTCGTAGATTTTTAAGATTGCTAAACTTGAATTTCTGATTAAAATTTAATGTAGCAGACTTAATATAGCAAATTCGACAAATTGTTTTATTTGTATGATATTTGATGTTTAAGAATTTGTGGAATTTGAAAATAATGTTTCAAAATTCAAGAGAATATTATTTTCATAAAACAAAATAAAATTGTATTCTGAAATTTCAATTTACATGTCAATAACTATTTTTGTACTTGATCACATTTTATCTTACATCCTTTATTCTTTATTCTCGAATTACAAAAAATTTGTATCTCAATTTTCAAATTAACGGTTTCTATAAGTCGTTAAAAAGCTAATTCAAAACTTAATACAGCAAATCTATTCATATAAAACTGTTTTATAGTTTTTTTTTAGAAATTTGATTGAAAGCGTCGGGAAAATCATGAAATTTTGTTCCAAGGTTTGCGAGTGGACTTATAAAAAAACCATTAATCGATGCATTAGCACTGTCACATTCCGCGATCGTATATTTCAGAGTCACGAATGGATAAAGAAGGCCGAATCGGAGAACGTGGACTTCGCCGGGTGGGTGTGCCGCACGATGGACTTGCAACCGACTACGCCGACGCACTTAGCCAGCGTGCAGTCCTGAATAAATGTAACTCTTACATACTTGACTACGTATATTCGAGTTCAGTACTCCTAAGTCACTCCTTGGTTCATCTAGGTTTCTCATTCCGTCAAACGGTGGCGTTTATCTGTTGTATTCCCTTTTATCGCGATATTGTCTTTCACGTAAACTTGACACACACTGGGATTCACACGGGTGGATTCAAGATTCCAAGAACTTGTGTGTGAGAGTGATCGCCTAATACCGCATTGATTTTCACGATCGACACCACATTTGAGAGTCGTTTATCCGTTTTCGTTATTCCCTAGATTTTACAGGTATAAAAAATATCGCTGTATCGCAATATTTAAGTGATTATCTATAAAGTATCGCCGTGACATAGACGATGTACTGGCAGGGCCGGTACTAGGCCCTACAGCGCCCCTGTGTAAAACCTTCATCGATGCTACAGTAAACAAGAAAAAAGATAATTCTCGTAACGCTAGCGCGGATTATTCCTTTTCCGTTTACACGTTAATGAGATTACCTTCTTCTCGGTCCACCGTGACATCGATGAAGCATTGGCGAGGCGTCAGGAACGCTTGTACTCGTCTGTTGATTCTCGCGGACCAAACATCCGATCATGTTTCATTTCGCTCACTTTACGCGAAATTGCATCGTACTCGTCGTCCGAGTAGTTCGCACGCCACTGTGCCAAATATTAATTTTCGGTAAGATTCACTTTATGTGTTCGTCTTTGATGCTTTTGTTGAAAGTATGTAAGATGAAGAATTGCAATATAAGTTTATTATATTAGAAGCAAATTTACGGATAAATTGTGTTCCCCGCGATACGATTTTAGGGTACACGAATGAGCATCGAACTTGCGAGCGTCGTTTCCGAAAATTTACTAAATCGAGTTACTTGTATAATATTTGTACCTGACATTTGTAGAAAACGATTATTTTCACAATGAAAGACTTTATTCTTGATCGTCACGTTAAAACTGTTGTATCATTGCACGGCGATTAAATGCGATTTTTCGACTTAATTTGTATATAACTCTTCTATATAGCGAATATTTCAACGATACAGTTCGAAATTCGTTAAAAATGCACGCTCTTACGATTATTAAGTTCTTGCAGATTTATTGACGTCGATGTGCAAATATAAATTAGACTATTGTATACGTTTATGAAATGTAAAATGTGCTAATTGTGTTTACCGTCGCGTAATCAATGTATAAATTTATCAAACCTCCGCAGACTTGCAAAGTGAGAAGAGGTTCATCATTTCTCACATAATCGCGGCCTTACATTAGTGATGGTTAAATATTTTGCAACTATGTTTACGTACTCAGTAAGTAGTGTTTAACTGTGAATCCTTTTGCTGCAAAGTATACGCATTCTCGGGTGGTATTCTCCATTTAGCGTTTAATGTGCAAGAACTGAACTTGTAATCTTACATCTTAGTTTAAAGACATAGAAATGCAGTGATAGTGATAATAGAGTGAAGTATCTCACACACATTTCTATTCTATTAATAGATTAAGATAATAATAATAAATATAATAATAATAATAAAGGAAATCACACCCAAACCGCAGCGAAAGGATCGATCTTTTGCGCGTACGGCAAAAATTTTCCTTTCTTTTTACGCAGTTTTGATAAAGTGCATTTTCAAAATGTCTTGCCACTTTATGACTGCTAACAGCTGACTTTTGAGATTCACAAGCAAGACGTTCGACAGATGTTCTTCGTTTCGTCATTATCCTCCCACTTTATACATGTCATTAGATGTAAATTGTCGCAATCCGTCGCACATTTAAAAAAGACATTTCATTGTTGTAACATTTAGTCAATAGAGTTATGTCATCCATAGATAAGTTTCCGTAGATTTAAATTAGATCATTGGTAGTGCAGCATTCAGAAATAGTGCAATAGAAACACAAATAGATTGTACATACATGAAATCGATAATCCACCACGACTTATCGTTTGTTGAAATTTCTCTTACGCTGCATATACATTTTGTAGATATATCTCGCAGTCTGCAGTTGTAGTCTCATGTTGCATGTAACAGCCGTCTCCGAGTTGGCTTAAAAATCACCGGATTGCGTTACGAATAAATCGTCATCTTTATAAATCGAACGAAACACTTCTCGGTGTATAGAAGCGTGAAACGCTTGAGAGAGAGGTCAAGTTTCATATTGCGTTTACATCGGTAACATTTAAGGACAAACGCATGTAATGCCATTTGTTGTAAAAAGGTAGCCTTTAATTATGTGGAAGGTGATCTCTAATCTACCATAGGAAGACAATATACACATTTAGCCGCGAAAGCAATTGTAGTTGTACGATACGCCGATATGATTTAGCAATTTTATCAAGCGATGACTCACATAATTTTGCGCAAAATTTGTAATTCCTTAGCGATTATTGAAGTGTATACATATTCCTCGTTGCAAATATGTGCATAATAATTACAGTTGTATGGGTTCACTGTCTAAGCGTTATTAATTATAAATACAATAAAATATTATAAATGTAATTTCACATTTCATATTTTAATCATCCAAATGTAGTTATACAGGGTGTCCGAAAAGTGTCGGAGCCCCTTAATATTTCGAAAACTAAGCATTTTCGAAAGAAATGTTCCATACAAAAGTAGGGTTTTAAGTGGTGTGTTAGACAGAAATATCAGTGTGATCTTGGCTAGCGCTATTATTGTTACGTAAAAATCATTGAAATTTGAAATTTTTAAATAAAAACCCCTATTTTTTATTGCATTTTCTTGCAGTCGATCTCGAGAGCTTTTCAAAACACTATAATGAAGTTATTTTTCGTAAAGAACTTTTCGAGTTATGAGGCTTGAAAGTTACGGCAGAGTAAGAGAGAAAGAAGCGCGTTGCGTCATTCTCTTTCTTTCTTACTCTACCGTAACTTTCAAACCTCATAACTCGAAAAGTTCTTAACTTCATTATAGTGTTTTGAAAAGCTCTCGAGATCGACTGCAAGAAAATGCAATAAAAAATAGGGGTTTTCATTTTTTTGAAAATTTCAAAATGATTTTTATGTGACCTTAATAGCGTTAGCCAAGGTCACTGACTTTTTGTCTAATGTGCCACTTAAAATTCTACAACTTTTATACGAAACATTTCTTTCGGAAATGCTTAGTTTCCGAAATATTAAGGGATTTCGGCATTTTTCTAACACCCTGTATATATTATATGCAATAATTCTCTATGATTTACATAAATCACAATTAATTTGTAATAAAAAAAATGTATAAGTATAAACAATCAAGTTAGCATCAATTTGGAGTAAACATATATACGAATTTATATTTGTTCGCTGAACTTTATTACATTATGAAATAATAACTTACATAATATTTGACTGTAGTGTTATTTACAAAAAAACAAGCATCTTAAGTCACTTTTGAGTTATAGCAATGTCTTCACAAAAAAATCCGCTTAAATTATAGAAAACTGATAACGTAGAACAAAACAAATTCGTCGAATTAATTTAATTTTTAGAAATTTGAAGAATCTGAATCCCAACCATTTGAACCCGAAAAATTTGATCCGTAAGAGTCTGTATAATCCTCGAAATCGGATGACCAGAAATCGACGGAATCAATTAGATTTGCTTCATGTGTGTCATCGATATCATATTCGTCATCGATATCGTGCATGTAGTCACTCAGCGTTGTGGACAAATCAACATTCACTATTTGTAAAAGCGGAGACGACTGCTGGGTCGTCTCTCCGTCCAATTCGGGGGAAATTGACGTCCCTCCAATAATCATCTTCAATACCGTGTTATTGGATCGATCATTGCAAGCGTCCTTGGCAGTCTTGAGAGTGGCATGAGTAATATTTCCGCATCCGGAGAGATCCAACAATTGTAACTGAGGCGAGGATTTAATCAGCATTGACATGCCGTGATCTTTAATTTGCGGACATCTTTGGCAATGCATTTCCCTCAAATTGCACATATTTTGCAAACCGTCGTCGGTGACGCAATCCAAATTATTGATGGTTAATTTTTCCAGCTTCGCTAATGTAGCGATAGCTGCCAATCCGGTATCAGTCACACCGATGCAACCTGTTAGATAGAATAATTCACAGTAAAAATCATAGTTCGGCTGACATAGAGCTGATGTACAGAAATAATTTAATTGTAATTTTCACCTGTAATGTCTATACAAGTAAGTTGCTGACACTGATATACTAAACTGGCAAGGAATTCATCCAATATTTTGGGATTATCTGTGATTCTCAGAACTTGCAGGTTGGCAAGGTGAGTTAAATATAACATATCCGCCGTTTGCATGGAAGGAAAATCGCCACTAAGCTCTAATACTCTTAGATTTCGACAGTGTTTGCTGATAGTTTCGAATGTGTGTTTTGCTACACCAATGCAATTATCTATTGTAAGGTGTCTTAAATTTTCCAGCTTCTTCAATGCCTGCAATATAAGGTTACATGTATTAGTCGAATAGTAAAATCAATGGAGAAAACAATTTTATACTTAATCAATGTAATAGAAAAACGGCAAATAAGAATCAAACTGCAAATGATAGTGCGTAATGTTCTTTGTTTAATTTGTTGAAAGATAAAACATTTAAAAGATTGTATATTCAGGGTTTTTTGGAACATTATATTCAAATTTGCAGTCAAGATTTTTAAAAATCTTGAATCATAAACAGAATATAGCAATTAACAATTTAAAATAATAGATTTTATATGAAATTTTTTAGGAAGTTTTAAAAACTTTTCATGTTTATATAAAATTAAAACGTTTTAAGTTTTGTAATGAAGGAATAAAAAAACATAAAATAAAACAATTAATAACTAAACAAATCTGTTCATTGAAACTCAAACATATCTGTTGACATTGAAATGTAATATGCACAAATTAAAATTTCAAAATTTTAATTTAAAGATAAAAACTCTTCAAAATCAAGTTTGATGGAAATAGAATAATGTTTTAAATTTGTTTGTTTGGTCTGTTATATTAAATTTGAACATTTCGATCAAAAATTCATTTTTACTGACTCCAAATACTAGCATACTGGTAATTAATTTTCAAAAAAATTAAAGAATCAAGAAATATTATTTCTTGTACATTAACAATTGTAATTTGATTCTCTTATTGATTAATTAGAAAGAATTTTGACTTACTGTTGAAACACAACTATCTTGAACATAATCGCATCCCTCTAATATAACTGTATGCACGGTTTGTGCCGGCAACCATAATAAGCATTTGCCTAAGACGCCGTTTCTGGTTATCGCAAGATGCTCCAAGTTCTGATTTAGCTTAAAGAGCTCTTTCAATTCGTTATCACAGCTGTATGACGATGGTCCTAAATTGAACTTGGTTATGTTCCTACAATTTTTCGCTAACATTTGTATGCCTGACGCGCAAACTGTTAATCCAGTAACATCAACGCTTTCAAGATTGGGACACAACTTTCCAACGATAGTTAATGTACTTTGGGATAAATTATGTATCGGTTCGGATAGATTTACTCGTGTGAGAAACCTGCCAGATTTGAGCAATATTTTGCGAAGTATAGCTGTAGAAATTGTTTTATTTCCCATGGAACCCCATGTCAAAGGTGAGAGATCTAGTGTCTTCATCATGTGCCAAGAGTCTTGGCTTAAAATTCTCCAACGCCTGCAAACTGAAAACAATAGCAAAACCATGTACAAAATTTATTTTGACAAAAGTAACAAAAACACACGCATATTGTATATGTAGAATGTCAAATACAAATTTGACAGAGCACTCACCTCTTTCTATACGAACTCTATCTAGAATTGGCAAAAATAGAAAAATATGTCTGAGACAATCGTCATTCAGTATATGAATGGACACTCTATTTGTGTCATTCTGCAGATATTCTTGAGTACATTGTTCATTCACCTTTTTTTCAGAACTCTTGTTCGATTCTTTTCCCATGGTGTACAATTTGTGTTCTATGCTATCAGGCTGATGCCAAGAGTCCGCAGGCATCACTCTCAAATCTCTGTTGTGTAATCTTATTTGCTTCCTGCCCCCGTCTAACCTGGCTCTACAAATTGATTATCAATGGGCTTGTTCGTTTTAGCTACACTGGGGCTGCTCTGGGTCTACTCTACACAGGATAATACAGGACAGATAAATAGTTTGTCCTGTATTATCTTGTTTAGAGCAGACCCAGAGCTGCCCCAGTGCAGCTAAAACGAACAAGCCCTATGACTGCATTCAGCAGAATACAAAACACTTATTAAACAATTGGATTTTATTGGTGCATTTCAAATTCACCAATCAGATCCAATCACTTTCTAAGCAATTCTGCTCAATGCAACCAGTACGTCTAATAATATAATTTATTAGTAATTTTTTTTTAATTTACTTTATTGCCTCTGTCACTTTGCTAAACGTAACAAACGCATAGTTTCTCTTGCCATGGTTTCTACGCAAGAAGCAACTCTCAACATTTCCATATTTAGAAAAGCTGGTGTGCAAATCTTTAAAAGTTGTCTGTAACAAATTCGAATCTTATTAATTATTGCATTATCGTCAAAATATGAAAATTACGTTCAGAAAACAATTGAGTTCCCATCAAAAGATTTCATAGATTTGGAAATCTGCATGAATATAAAGACAACACACTGTCGCTTAACAGTGGTGCGAGCGTTTTTGTTCTCTGCACGTAATTACAATAGAACCTCGTTTATCCGAGCTTCGATTAACCGACATTCCGCGTAATCCGAGGCACTGAATTCATCCGAGCACTCCGCATTAACCGAGGCGGTAGCTCGGATAATACGGAAAAACTCGGATAATACGGAGCAAAGCCATGTAGGCGCGCGAAGTATGTATGTATAGTTCGTTGTTGCTATTTTGTTTCAACATGCATAAACTTGTACAAGCTTGTGTGTTATAAACCAAATGCAGCAGTTCCGATCCTAGAGTCGTGATGGCTCAGAAACGGAAAAAAATTGTAGTGAGTGTGGAGCAGAAATTACAAGCAATAAAAAGATTGGATAGTGGCGAAATTATTCGAAAAGTCGCGGCTGATTTAGGAGTTGGAGAGACCACCGTAGACGATTGGCGTCGGAAGCGAGCCGATTTGGAAAGATTTGCAACTAAATCATGCAATGCGATGACAAATCGTAAAACAATGAAAACTGCAGAGTATGATAAAATAGACAGAGCTTTATTCTTATGATTCACTCAACTAAGAGAAAATGGACTACCCATATCAGGTATGCTTTGAACCAATGTTTGATAAATTTGATGGAGATTCGCGAATTTCTGTTCCATACAATACTATGCTAATGAATACTTGCAGAAATTACCCTTCTTTCTCTTTCTCCTCTCCAGGCCCAATTTTACAGCAAAAGGCTATGATGTTTGCGAAACAGTTTCCTAACGAAAGTGAGACTTTTACTGCAAGCAGTGGATGGTTGGATAGGTGGAAAAAGAGGCACGGTATTCGTCAGTTAAATATTTGTGGCGAAAAATTATCAGTTGGTGGAAGTGGAATGAATCAGTTTAGAGAAGAATTCAATAAGCTTGTTACAGAAGAAGGTTACACGAGAGATCAAATTTACAATTGCGATGAGACTGGCGTAAATTACAAAATGATGCCTTCCAAAACACTGGCTGTGAGAGAAGAATCAACTGCTCCGGGATACAAAAAAAGTAAGGAAAGAATTACTATTTTAGCGTGTAGTAATGCATCGGGAACACACAAACTTCCATTAATGTGTATTGGAAAATCAGCTAAACCTAGAGCGATCAAACACATAAAACCTGATGCTTTACCAGTGTACTACGCTCATCAAAAGAATGCTTGGATGAGTAGCGATCTTTTTCAAAAATGGTTTTTCGACGAATTTGTTCCTTCAGTTGAAAGATTCTTAGGAAAAAAAATGGACTTCTCAGAAAAGCCATCTTTACTCGACAATGCTCCATCTCACCCAAACGAGTCAATTCTGAAAAGTGGAAATATCGTTGTGAAATTTTTTCCACCAAATGTGACTTCCATTGCACAACCAATGGATCAAGGAGTATTAGAAACACTCACTACCGGCGTTTCTTACTTCAAACACTTCTAGAAAATAGCAGTAACAACAAGACATTTAAGGAGTGCTTACTTGCGATTAATATGAAAAATGTGATTTACTGGTCAGCTCAAGCTTGGGATGCTATTCAAAGGTCCACAATACAGAAATCATGGGCAAAAATTCTGAATTCTGACAGCCAAAGCGATGAAGTTCTAGACAATATAGATTTGCATAGCATGATGCAGCAAATCCCTGGTTGTGCAAATGTCGAGAAGAATGATACTGATAAATGGGCTAATGGTGACGATTGTGAACATGAGCTTACTGACGATGAAATTTGCCAACTCGTTAATTCTGAAAAGGAAATTGCAGATGAAACTGGAGATAACGAAATGGAAGAAAGTCAGTACGTCAGTCATGAAGAAGGATTAAACGCTCTTGAATTAACTCTTAAATATGTTGAGGAACAATCAGAAGCTACTGCAAGTGACCTCTTATTAATAAAAAGATGGAGAGATATTGCAGCTAAAAAACGCATGAGCAAATTAAAACAGTCTCGTATTACTGACTTTGTTAAGCTAGTGACGCATAAAAATAATGTGCATTCGTTATAATTCTTATATCTTTATACATATGTTGTATGTATATCTGATCATATTGCATTTTTTCAAATTCATACATACATAAAAATAAAAAACCTTTTAATTATATCTGTGTTACGTATTATCCGAGATTTCGATTATCCGATGTACGCTCTCCCCACATTACCTCGGATAAACGAGATTCTACTGTATTGCATAAAAACTGAGAAAAACACAAACCCTATCGGCCAAATTGCTGACAAATAATTTTCGTATCGGCACGCCGTCTATTGTTTCTGCACCCAAGTGATCTGAACAAAAAATAAATACGTAAATTTCGGGGGAAAAAAATTTGATAAAAGAAAAATTCAAGAACATGTAAACATAAAATCATACAAACGTGAACAAAAATAAGATTTACCGTCTGAAGCGGCACTACTTAAGTGTAGAAGCATTTCAGCATAATTAAATTCTATGATGTCGTCCATCGTTGATTTCTACTTTGGAAACTCGGACACCTTATTCCTTCTTATGTCAATCAATTTTATACGCTTAGCTTTCTTTCATTTGTAAAAAAACAGATAACAATTTCACACTACCTTGCATAAATAATTAGGAAGTCATAACTATAGGAATAATAATCTCTTTCTAAAGACCTGTGTCCACAACGTTATCCATACTTTTAAGGGCTGTGTCGGCTGTGTCCACAATACTAGACCTCCGTCCAATGCTGCCAGAAACGAGCGGCGGCATCACACTAATACAACGGAAAACCGATGACGTCACCCTATCCGTGTGAGCTCGACCCGGTCGACCAAT